AATCACAGAAAACTAGCCAATCTGATCACATGGACCACAGTCTTGTCTAACTCAATGAAACTAAGCCATGCCGTGTGGGGCCACCCAAGACAGACGGGTCATGGTGGAGAGTTCTGACAAAATGTGGTCCACTGGAGAAGGGAATGGCAAACCACTTCAGTATTCTTGCCTTGAGAACCCCATGAACAGTATGAACAGTATGAAAAAAACACTTAGTTCTGTGTTTATTTACATATGCATATATCCACCCTCTTTTTAGATTCTTTCCGCACACGTGCCATTGCAGAGGATTAGGTAAGCCCCCCGTGCTGTGTAGTAGGTCCTTACTAGTTACGTTCTATGTATAGTAGTGTGTATATGTCAGTCCTGAGCTTCCCACTCATCCCTCCTCCAGCCGAACAAACGTGTGGTTTTCTCCATCTGACTCTACTTCTGTGTTATAAATAAGCTCACTGTAGCCTTTTTTAAGATCCCACATATAAGCAGGGTCTCAGTTTGTCCTTCTCTGTCTGACTTACTCCACTCAGTGTGACAATCTCTAGGACCATCCATGTTGCTGCAAATGGCATTACTTTGTTCTTTTTATGGCTGAGTAACTTTCCATTATATATACACACCATGTCTTCTTTACCCGTTCCTCTGTTGATGGCCATCCAGGTTGCTTCCATGTTCTGGCTATTGTAAATAGTGCTGCAATGAACATTGGGGTACAGGTATCTTTTTTATTTATGGTTTTCCCTGCCCTTTAATTATTAATAAGTATCTAATGGGGTAATACTTTGAGATGTCAATATCCTGTTCCTCATCAAACTTTCAATTTATTAATCTATGTCAGTATAGACTCATGCTTTTATATTGTATTCAGTAAATTATAATTCATAACTGTCATTATTTTTTGATGTTTAATTTGTTCCAGATTTAACCAGTGGAACTTCTTCAGGCTGGCTCCATGGTCTTTTGACAGGTCCCTATCATTCTTGTGGCACTTCTTCTATCCTCTGACACAAAATGTCCCAGGCTGTTAATAAACCCATGAGGTAGGTGCTATTATTATCATCCCCACATTAGAGATACAGAAACCTAGGAACAGCTCAGGATTATGCAGCTAGTTAGTTATGGTAGCAGAATTGTGAATCCAGACCATTTAGCTCAGGCCTGAGTTTTTCTCCCTAACTTTTAATTCTGAAATAATTTTAGACTTACAGAAAAGTTGCAAAAATAGTACAGAGTTCCTGATTACCTTTCACCCAGTTTCCACTGACATTAACCTGCGACATTAACACACAGTGCTGTGACTGAAACCAGGGAATTCACATTGATGCATTACTGTTAACTGATTTTTCCAGCTTTCTCAGTAAGGCCCTTTCTGATCCACTGCATTTCATCATCACAGCCTCTTAAGTCTCCAACCTGTGACAATTGCTTAGTCTTTGTCTTTATATCCTGTCACTTTTGAACAAGGCACCTGGTTCATTCATTTGTAGAATGCCCTCAGTTTGGGTTTGCCGGCTGTTTGTTCCTGGTTAGACTGAGGGTATCCAAGAAGACACAGGTGACATTGCAGCCTCTTAATGTATCACCTCAAGATAATGACTCATTACCTGGATGTAAACTTGGATAATTTGATTAAGGTGACATTTACTAGGTTCCTCCCCTGTATAGTTACTATTTTTTCCTTTTTAAACTAGTAAGTACCTCATGGGTATATACTTTGAGATAATGCAAATGTCCTTACTTTTGCTTGTTTTTGTATCCATTTCTGCCTGCACCAGTGGTGACTGGGATGTTTGCATAAGGGTGATTTTCTTTTTCTACTCTTCCTTCTGCATTCACTAACTGTAATTCAGTAAGAAAGAACTGCCACTGCTCCCCTGTGTATATATATATATATTCAATTATTTTTCTCAGACTAGACTCATGATTAATTAATGATTTACAATCCATTACAGACCTGACTACTGGTTGCGCCTTCAAGTTGGTTCCTGAATCCTTTAGACAAGCCCCTTCCACAAGATATCCCAGGCTCAGATCTCTGCCCCAGGTCTGCAATTTCTCCAAGGAGCACTGACTCCTTCCTTTGAAGAATTGTATTTAGAAACCAAGATCTAGGTATTTTATGTGCTTACTTCTACTGGGGTGTTGCTGCCTTCCACATACAGCTATGATAACCATGCACCCCAGCTGACTTCCCATCACCCGACACAGCTGAAAGCCCTCTCAAGAGCCCCTACATGCTTGCTCCAACTTACCCCTTTGGTTTACCTCACATCATAGCCAGAGACCACTCACCCTGCCCTGCTGCTTTGGCATCACTCTGGTCCATGTCTTTTTTTCTAGCCCCAGGATCCCAGGCATCTGTTTGAACTCTTACCTCTCCCAGGAACATGCCCTATTTACCTGGCTAACCCCTCCTGGACAAAAGCAAGTCAGCCTGCCCTACCTCCTGGCTTAGACATAGCAATTCTGTACTGAAACAGTCTGTTTACCTTTCTCCCCTGATATATAAGTTTTGGGTAGCAAAGATATGTCTTGTTTACTGTTGGCTCCAAACACATAACACTTCCTGGACCTACTGTATGTGTTCAAGTATCTGATGGAGGAGGGGGAGGGTAGTCCCTCCAAACTCACTTCTCATGGCTCCCTCTTCCTCCACAGCCCCTCCTCTCCATGCCGCTCAGCTTCTTCCTTCAGAACCCAGCTCGATACAGCCTTCTACATCTCTCCCTCTTGTCTGAACTTGGAACTTGCATCAGTATTGGTGTGGAGCCATTCATCGGAGCCAGGCTGCAGAGGTGCTCCAAACAGAACAGGTGAGAACATGGGCCCACCAAACCCCATCTGCCACAAGGACCCATCTGGGAATAAGGGGGAGGAGGGCAGCCTGTCATCTGCTTCTCCTGGTGAACCGCAGCAGGTGTGTAAAGAGCCTGGGGAATTGTGCCACCAGGTTGAGAGCCCAACCTCTGGGGCCTCCCGTGCCGCGTTGCCCCACCAACTGCTGAGACCGCAGGCTTCTGAGCTGCCACCAGAGCCCCACTGCTTTGGTCCCCAGGGGTGTGTGAGCAATCAGCACAAAGAAACACATGAAAACAGAGCCATGCGCTGGGCCTTTTCCATAATTATTACTATAATGACTTACAAAAAATGTTTTTTCAGGCAACTGTGTTAAGTTATTGTACGTATATGGGAGAGGGAGATGGGGGTCCTGGCCATACGGTAAATGAAGACCTCTTTCATGGGAGAAGTGGGAGGAGGAAATGTGCCTCCGGTCTCCCCCACTAGGTCTGACTCCTGATTAAGTGGCTTCCCCTCAACAAATGAAGACCATTAACCCTTCCCGTCCCAGGCACTGGGGTAAAGGAGAGGGAGCAGCAGGTCCATGAAGCGCTTTGACGAGGAGAACGCACAACCCGCTGTGGCTGCCCAAACCCCGTGCATCCTGTCCTGGTTCCACAGGGTTGGGCCTTGGCCCAGACCCCGTCACTGGGGACAGAAGACTGCCCAGAACTCAGTCTACACCAAAGCACCCATCTGGGAAGACGAGAGGACAGAGCATGAGGGGGTCAGGGACGCCACGGTGTGGCCTTCTGGGTTGCCCTGTTGGGTCAGGACAAGGATGCGGCACAAGCAGCGGAGACACCCCAGAGGGAACTGCTGGTGCCCCCCCCACCCCAACTCCCCAGGGCTAGTCACCCAGGCATCCAGGCACTCTCGGAGGGCTTTTGTCAGAGGCAATGGGGGCGTTCCGGTGTCTGGCCTTGGAGCTTGGGGAAGCTGAGAACCATGGGCCTAATTGGCTCTGCCAAGGGGGACACCCAGAACCACCCAAAGCTGGTTGGGCCCCTCAATTCCTATCTTCCAGCTCCAGCCTCCCATCCATGCAGCTAACTGTGACTATGTGTGTGTGTGTGTGTATGTGTGCGCACGTGTAAACGTGTGTAGGGGAGGCTTCAAGGAAGCGCTGTTGCACCACTTGCCCAGGGTTCAGGGCATGCAGGGGGTCCAGGCCTCGTCTGTGAACCCAACCACAAAGGGTTAAGGACTATGGTTCCTCCCAGAGCTACGCCTTCCTCCTTGGGCACTAGAAGGTTTTTCGATGAATAGCCCGAGAGCCGTCCTCTTCATATTCCTTTTTGGATACCCACATCTTCTTAAAAGTGTCCAGTGAGGCCAGGATAGAGCCCCTGTGAGGAGGGAGGGAGAGCATTCTTGGGGACCTGAAGGCTGAGCCAGCCACCCGCCCTGGGCGCCCAGGACTCCCCTTCTCTAACCTGCGGGGGACATCCACCCACCTCCACCTGGCCTGGACCAGCCCAGGAAGAAGTGTGCCGAGCACAGCGGCCTCCTCCCAGAACCCTGGCTCTGGGCCCTGCCTTACCCGATCCATGTGGAGTACAGCCGTTCCTGAGGGGCCGAGATCTGGAGGGAACAAGCACAGCGTAACTGCCCTGTCCCCCCCCGGCCCCCCCATCCTAGCCTTGGGGGCATTTCCCCCAGTGCCTGCGGCCAGGCCTCAGCCGAGAGCAGGGGGAGCAGCAGGGCCGGACTGGGTGTGAAGTCAGAGGACATCTGAAGGTGCTTCTTGCCCTTCCCTCCCCAGGTCAAGGTTGCCCAGCACCCCCATGCCCTACAGGGACTCCGCACAACCTCACCTTGATTTTGACATCCTTTGGGGCAAGCTTCTTTACTTCACTTAGTAATCGATCGCCAAAGCCTGTGAACACAAGGCTGGCTGAACCCAGGGTCCACATCTGACCCCTCATCACTAGCTCCCTCACATCCAACTTCTAGTGCCTCAGCCCCAGCCACTTTTTTAATTTTTTAAGCTACTATTTTATTTTTTGGCCATGCCAGGCAGCATGTGGGATCTTAGTTCTCCAAACAGGGATTGAACCCATGCCCCCTGTAGTGGAAGTGTGCAGTCTTAACCACTGGACTGCCAGGGAAGTCCTTGTTTCAGTCATTCTTGCCAGGAGTGAGGGTGGAGAGAACCACACCAAAGGCAGAAAAGATCTAGCAGTGTGCTTGCAGGTGGGCCGGCTTCCCTCTTCAGGAAGGAAGGAAGGTAGCAGGAGATGGAACTCCAAGTCACCCACCTCTGCCTGACCCCTACTCTCTCCCCCTTGACACTCCAGAGCCAAAAATACCAGAAGCAGTCAAAGGCAAATGATGAGTCAGGAAACAAGCAGTCACTTTCATCCAGTAGACAGGAAAATGTCTTGCACAGTGTTGGGATGGCACTGGGGAACTCTCTGCCATAACTGGGGGAGCCTCTCAGGAGGGAAACTTGTGATACCTACCAGGTATCAAATGCACACATGTGTACCCTCTGACTTAGCAATTCCACCCCTAGGATTTATCTTTCAGGTATCTTCCCATGATGTGAAATGATAGTGCACGCAATCACCCAGCGGAACAGTTTTGTGATGAGAAAGAATTTCACCACTTCCAAGGCCATCGGCAGGTTTTTTCCACCACCTCCAAGGCCATCAGCAGGTTAATGGTTCAATGGCACATCCAGCCCTCATGGCCAGATAAACAGAACCTACACAAACATCCACCATCTGTGGAGCAAAATCAACAACACAGGGCATAGAACTGGAGAGTATGCTCGTGTTCCTGCTCTCTGTGCTCCTGCTCTGTCGCTAAGTCAGGTCTGACTCTTCGTAACCCCATGGACTGTAGCCCGCCAGGCTCCTCTGTCCATGGAATTCTCCAGGCTAGAATACTGGAGTGGGTTGCCATTTCCTTCTCCAAGGGATCTTCCTGAGCCACGGATTGAACCCATATCTCCTGCATTGGCAAGCTGATTCTTTACTACTGAGCCATCTGGAAAGTCCAGAGAGTACTCCAGGGCTGAGTAAAAAGGATGCTTTATCTAGGCACAGATGTTACCTGAGCAACTAACAATAACTGTGGGGAGGAACTGGGTGACCAGGACAATAGAAGGCAGACTTCATTGAATACATTTTAGACCTCATTAAACTTACCATCTATTTGTAAACAAAATTTAATTTCAAATCTATACTTTAAAAAAAAAAACCTCACTGAACACCCAAAAAACCCACAGAAAATGGGCCATGTCCCAGGCTTTCAGGAATTGGGGTGCAGTCTGAGGGCCCCGCTACCTGTGGCCTCCAAGCCATACCATCCCGACCAACTAGGTACCTTTGAAGAGCGTGGAGCCACCGGAAAGCATGATGTTGGCGAACAGCGTGCGACGCAGATCCAGGTCAGACTTGTGGATGGCGAAGACCAGCACCTCGTGGAGCCCCTCACTCTCGTCCCCTATGAGGTCTGGCTGGAACAGCAGCTCAGGGGCCCGGAACCGCGCCGGGCCCACCTTCGGACACGAGAGGAAGTTGGTCCCGCCCCCTTCAGTCCCCGCGTCACCACTCTCCCCGGCCCGGCCTGAGCTTACGTTGAGCGTGCTGCCGTCCGGCAGGGTGTACTGCACCTTCTCTGTCTCCAGGGCCTCATCCTTCTGTGGGTTGATGGACAGGTAGCAGGCCCGCTGCGGTGGGCAGAGACAGGGCCCTCAGGAGGTGCCCACCGGGACTCGCATGCCCAGGGCTCGACCTCATGCTGGGTCCGACCACCCCCCTTCCCCCACTCCCTGCCCACGTCACCTCTTTGATGGTCCGGACGACCTCAAACTCAGCCGAGGTATGAAAGTCCGCCCCCTCCTTGCGCAGCAGCAGCCGGAGGTAGCGGGAGACGTCGCGGCCGGCAATGTCCACCCGCATGATGGAGTGCGGCATGGCGAAGCCCTCGTAGACCGGGACGGCGTGCGTGACCCCGTCCCCTGAGTCCAAAACCACTCCCGTCGTGCGTCCTGTGGCATACCTGTCACCAGGTCAGCATCCCTTCACCTCAGCCACTGAGGCACTGGGACCTCCGCACCCTTGGAAGGGACCCCGGGGCATGTGCATTATCTGGTCTAAGAAAGGGACCCACGGGCCCACCATAGGGATGGTCATCAGGAGGCTATTTGTACAGGGAAGTCAGCCGCCACAGCATCCCGATCAGGAGGCCAGAGACGCAGGGACCAGGGCCGAGAGAGCACTCACAGGCTGAGCACGGCCTGCATGGAGATGAACAGGGCCGGCACATTGAAGGTCTCGAAGAACACCTCCGCCGCCTTCTCCCGGTTCTTACTCGGGTTGAGCGGCGCTTCCGTAAGAAGAACAGGATGCTGCAGGCGACGGCAGGGTTGCGGGCAGGTGCAAAGGCAATGTGCAGGCCCCGCCGGGATCTTTCCAGAGAGCCACCTACCCCGGGAGCACACGAACCTGCCACCTCCCATCCCTCCCAAGGGCACCGGCACGTCATCTGCCAGCAGTGAGTCTTCCAAAGACCCAGCGCCCCCTGGTATATTCTACTTGGCAGCCGCTAGCTGTGCAGACCCACACCCACACAATGCGGGGCGGAGGGGAGGCAGGGACCCCCACCCACACAATGCGGGGGGCAGGGGCTGCAGGCCAGAGAAGGTGTGGAGGCCTGACGCAGACGCCGCAGGCGGGGCAGGGGGAGGGGGCCGCGGCCCCACCTCCTCGGAGAAGGTTTGCAGCTGGTCCTTGGAGTAGACATACTGCCAGATGCGCTCCATGTCGTTCCAGTCCCTCACCACGCCGTGCTCCATGGGGTAGCGGATGGCCAGCAGCCCCCGGTGCTCCTGCAGACCGAGAGGCTGGAGGTGGCAGCAGACACTCACCCAGCAGCTGTTCTCTGCCCTCCGGGGGCCACCCCTTCATCCGCTCACCGGGGGTCCCTGTGCCCCTTAGATCCTTAACCCAGCATGGGTTCATCTGTCCAACTGTTTTCCCTGGCTCTGAGAGTCCAGCCTGTTCCGAAGACCCGGACCACAGGGGGTGGTGGTATGCTCCCCCGAACCCCACAGTTCCCCCATTCCTTCCCCCAAGCCCGTGTCCTCTACACTCACTACTAGCACATCCTTCCCCTCCAGCCTCACACACGGCCTGACCTCCAGCTCCACCACTTCAGTCCCCACTCCCATTAGCGCCAGGAGCCTCTGTGGAGGCCAATCCTGCTACAGCCCGTCCTGTGTGGCCCCCTCCTGCGGTCACGTGCTGCCACCTTCCTCACAGCTCTTCAGCCAGCACAGGTGTCTCTTGCAGAGACCTGCCCTTCAATTTCCCCCCCCAACACGGTCCTTCTGTCCAGCACCATTTGGCCTCTCACCCATGCCTGCAGCTCCTGCTGACCCCATTTTCTGGGTCCTCAGCAGCCCTTCCTGTCTTCCCCAGGTGCCTAAACTGCACTTGCTCGTTAGTCCCTGCCAGCCCCCCCCAACCCCCCAGCTGGAGCACAGAGCTGGCCTTCTCACTTGATCAGTTATCAGTCCAGTGACTCAGACTTTAAAGTTACTTTTTAACTGGTTCTTTCCTCTGTGGCTTCTAAAGGAAGGGGCACAAAGTGGTCTTACTATGTCGCCTTACACAGGAACCCTGGGCCAGCTCACATAGCAAATGGACCACAGTGCTTATGGCACCCAGCAGATGGTCCCAGAGAGGGCTCTCTCTGGAGGTTCAGCTCTGACCACCAGTCAAGGCTCCTGGGACAGAAGACCTCAACCCAGGCACAGACAGGCACCACAGATGTTACCTCTGCTTTTGGTCCGATAAAGAGGTCTCCTTCCAGGGCTCCAGCCATCACCCGCATGTGCTTGGGGCGTCCAACACTGCAGGGACAGGAAAAGTCAGGGAGATGGGCAAGGGACATAGCTGAGCCTAGTCCAGGAAAACCAAAGTCTGACTCCAACGGTCAGAACCTAGGCCTACGGGCCACAGGACCACAGAGCAGGCCTTGGAAGGACAGAAGACTCAGGGTCAGAAGAAAAGGGGTTCCCGAGATTTCACACCAGCCCTCCCAGAGAGGGCCAAGAGGTCTAGAATGTCAGCCCTGGCAGAGGGTCTGCTTCTGCAGCCATGATGACCCAGCCCTCACTGTGGATTTCACGGGGGCAGAACAAGGTGGGGTGGCCCCAGGAAGCAGGGCCATGCTCCTTCGTACACCCCTCTCTGTCAGTCCCATCCTTCTCCCTGCCAGGGCTTCTGGAACACAGATGCAGCTCTTGGCAGAGTGGACAAGCTGCCATTCCAAAATCTGACCCAGTTTCCCTGCATGTCAAGAGGAACCTTTAATTACACTCCAGGTGAGTTCAGAAAGGACAGCTGAGGCCTGGATGCCCCGTGCAGGCTCTGTCTTGACATGGCCAGTTACTTCGGGGGCCTGAGGACTCCCCTACCCTGGCTTCAGCCACTAAGCTTTAAGGCCTCCAGGATTTGAGATGAAACACCATCAAGGGAAAACTTCCCAATGGGCTTCAGCAGCCGGTGGAATGCTCCCAACTTTCCCTGGGTTTCACTCCCCTCTCTCCTCTGCCACCACTGGCATCATTCTGGGAAGGATTCCCCCTGACTGCACAATGTGTCTTCCAGAGTCTGAAAATGAATGAGCCCTGAAGAGAACACTTCCTGGGAGGAAGGAGTGGCAGTAACTCCCCAATCTTTCTCCTCTGAGTTTAGATCTCTCTTGTATCCTTGCTGCTGCTACCATGCCCTGTCTCCAGGGGGATGCTGGTGGTAGCTCCTCCTTTCTGGCTCCAGGAGGGACCAAAACCAGACTCCGGAGGGGTGGGGGAAGCCCAGAGCACCTGTCTTCTGCCATAGCCCTTCACAGCACCAGTTTCACAAATCTGGTGTTTTCCCCTACAGGCGGGGGCAAGAGTTAGCCTCAAAGGTTGTGACACAGAACCCATGTTCTTCCCAGAAGCAAACCAAAGGGTTAGGAATACTGCCTGAGCAACACTTACTAGTTTGGAAAACAATATTTGGGAATCTGGTCTCCTGCAAAGCCAGCCTTGATCACCCCGGAACCCTGCAAAGAAAAACAGCAGTCAGATTCCAACATTCATCTCCAGATGAAGGTGGTGCCCTGCTGTGGAGAGGCCTACCCCCCACAGTAGCCTGGGAAGGAAGCCTGAGGTCCTGCCAAGAGGGCAAGGCCATTTACACGTACACCAGTGGTTCAAAACTAGGGGCAACTTTGCATCTCGTCCCCCTAATTTGAGGGCTTCCTAGGTGGCTCGGTGGTAAAGAATCTGCCTGCCAATGCAGGAGATGTGGGGTTAGTCCCTGTGTTGGGAAGATACCCTGGAGAAGGAGATGGCAACCCACTCCAGTATTCTTGCCCGGGAAATCCATGGACAGAGGAGCCTGGTGGGCTGCAGTCCATGGGGCCGTAAAGATTCAGACACAACTTAGCAATGGAGCATGCACACATCCCCAAATCTGACAATGTCTGAAGACTGGGGGCAGAGGCTGTTATTGGCATCTAGTGGGTAGAGGCTAGGGATGCTGCTCAACATCCTACAGAGCACAGGGCAGCCCCTCATCATCAAGAATTATCCAAGCCAGAATGTCACCAGTGTACACCCTCCTAGGCACACTCGTGGGGCAGCTCCAGGCAGGAGGACTCCTTAGCAGCAGAAGTGACTCCCAAAGCCCAGCTAGAAACAACCCTTAAGGTTTTTCAACATGCTTGAAAAAGCATGGCCCACTCCCCTCAGAAGCCATGGACCTCATACAGGAGTGGCTGGGGAAGATTACTGGGTGCATAGAGATCAACTAGCACCCCTCCTCAAGTGGCTTTCCCAGAGATAACAGGAGAACTTGGTCCGTTCCAACGTGGAAGCTGGATGGAGACTTTTAAAGGGATTCTGGTATCTAGAAACCTCCCACCCACAGCAGGAATCAGCATCTCAACTTATCTCCCCACCACCTATCACCACCCTTGGGGCCTGTAGAGCAGAAATAAACATCCCCTAGAGTTTGGGGGAGAATGGATACATGAGTACATATCGCTGAGTCCCTTCACTGCTCACCTGTAACTATCAGAACATTGTTTTTTAACTGGCTATTCTCCAGTAAAAAATGGGCTTCTTGTGTGGTGCTCATGGTAAAGAACCCGCCTGCCAAAGCAGGAGACAGAAGAGATGTGGGTTTGATCCCCGGGTCAGGAAGAGCCCCTGGAGGAGGGCATGGCAACCCACTCCAGTATTCTTGCCTGGAAAATCCCATGGACAGAGGGGCCTGGTGGGTTATAGCCCAGAGGGTTGCAGAGTCAGAAATGACTGAGTGACTGAGCACACGCAATACAAAATAAAAAGTTTTTTAAAAAGAGAAAGAAACATCCCAAAGTTACAGAGTAGGGGTCTGGAAGCCCAGTGGGACCAAGCAGGTTGCTCTCGAAACTCATAAACTTGTTCATTAGCCTGCCAAAAAAGGAAGTGGCTGATCCTTCCTGAAGCCTGATGGAGAGCATCCCCAAGTCCAGCTTCAGCAGTCTTATTAAACAGCCCCTGCTGTGACTCAGGGCCCTCACATGGTTACTCCAAAACAGACAGCCTTTCAGAGATTACATGGGGGTCATGTGCAAGGGAGACAGATCCCAGAAAGAGCAGTGAGTCATTATTAAAAACTCCAAGGCCCACAGTTAAGAGGTAGACACTCAGCTAGGGGCAGATCCACTGATCTGTGCCCCTCACCTTCTTCCTATAGACCAGAAATCATGCTGAGCTGAGCTCCGGTGCTGAAGGACAAGACCACCACGGAGCCAGGCAACTTTCTGCTGAGGTTTCCAACCAAGACCCCCAAACAGCTTACAGGTCCTGGGAAGAATGGTCCTGAATTCTCTCCACTGCCCTCCCAGCTGTGGAACATCCGCTTGGCTCAGGCAACACTTAAGGAAAGGGTCAAAGCAGGTGAGTGCCCAGCCAGGCAGCGGCGGGTATGTGGTTGGCAAAACTTAACGTGCATTTTCCCCAGTCCCAGGAAAAGGGCATAGTGGGGCCTGCCTACCCTGGACGTGCTGCCTGGGGGTGCAGCACTTGGCAAGAGCTGTTGCAGAGGGCCGCAGGTCGAGCGTACCCAAAAGATGGGGCCAGCAGTGTGCAAAGGGGCAAACACTGTTTTTCCTCCAGTAGGAGGGCAGCCAAAGCCTCAGGATAGGTAAACGGGCTGGGGTCGAAACCCATCCAGTGAGCCTAGTCTCCACCGAGAAGGGTCCGTGGTGAGTCCCGGTGCATCGGTGCATCGGTCGGTCGCCCGGCTGTACCCCGGCTCTCCAGATGCTGATCAAGGGCTGCCAGACATATGGGACCCCTTCCTCTCCCGACCTCCCCGCCAGCTCAGGGAGTGCTGGGGTTCTGCTACGCTTGCGGGGGGCTGGTCCCGCGGCCCGGGATACAGGGCCAAGTGGGGACAGCCCGCAGGAGTGGCGGGCCGGCAACGAGTCGAGGACCAGCCAAGATCGGAGGGGGTCCCTGCGGACCTCGCCGCGTCCACCCCCGGGGGCGGGGCGCCCGCCCTCCCCCCGGTTGCCAAGCCTCACGTTGTCGATGACCACGGGCTGGTTGGCGATGATATCGTAGGACTCCATGGCCGGGCCGGGCCGGCCCTGCCCAGCAGACTGGCTGCAGTAGTAACCAACGGCTGGCAGGCAGGCAGGCGGGCGGACCGGGACCACCTCGGTTCCAGACGCGCTGCTGTGCCCCTCCCACCCCGAGCACGCAGCCTACGCGAGCCCGGCGGAGGCTTTCAAGAGGGCGGGCCCCGCGGCCAGTCACCGCTCCCACCTAGGCAGATTGACGCCGGGCGCCGGGGGCCCCCGGGGGAAAGGGGCGGGGCCGTCGGGTGCTGGCCAGCCAATGGAGGCCGCCGGGAAGAACTGCCCGGGCGCTTCCAAGGTAGGCTGCAGCGCGTGTGGGTGACGTCATCGCTCCGCGCTTAAAAAGGGCGCGGTCGGAGCCCGGCGGGCTGGTAGTTCACTTGTCCAGGACTCCCGTTTTCCTCAGCGAGCAGTCCCCAAGGAGGCCGGCGGTGGATATTTCACACAGAGCATTTCTTTATTGAGCACTGAGGAAGATCCTTTCCCTTATAAAAACGATAACTTCGTGATAGCGGTAGCTGAAGTGAACGGAGCACCAGTTTAGTGCTTGCGCAGCACTTCTACCCATTTTACATAGATGATCCTATTACACCCTTGCAATTACTCAGGTATTATTTCCCGATTTTACAGATACGGGAACCGACGAGTCTCAACGCGTGTGTACCTTGCCCAACAGTTATCTTGTTGGCAGCAGCTGGCATGAGCACGCGGGGAGCCTTCAACGGCTCAGGGGTCCACAGGGCAAGAAGATACCCAGTCCTGAATTCATTGACCAGACTGAGCCATAGTTATTTGCCGCTCTATAGAACTTTCCCACTAGACTGTGAGGTTAAATTTGGTCAAGTTGAAGCACAGCATCACACAGGAAAGTGCAGAAATCGTAAGTGTACATTTCAATGAATTATTAACTTGTGAACACTGAGTTTAAAAAACAGCATGAGCAGTGTTCCAGAAGCCTCCCACCCCTCTTGCTCACTGCCCTCTTCTTCCTCGAAAGGGACTACTATCCTCCAGTCTACAGGTCACCACAGGTTAGTTTAGCCTATTTTGGAGTTTTATGCAAATAGAATCATAGATATGTGTTCATTTGTATCTGGTGTCTATGCGTTCATAAAATGGGTCAGCATGCAACTGTTTAAAATAATGAAGGAATTCTGTATAATCTGATATGAAATACATCAGGACATATGGCTAAGTCAAAGCAAAGAAAGACAGTCACAATGTCTAGAATGTTTATGTGTGAATGGCTTTGAAGAATGTCTGAGGAACCTTCAACACTTTTCAACATGGGGAAGGGGGACCACTGGTAAAGGTGGGGGAATGAAGAGCAAATTCTTTGTACAATGTAAATTTTTATTTTAATTTTTTAATATGTTCATGTATTTGTACGTGGGTGCTGAGTTGCTCAGTTCTGTCCAGCTATTCTGTGGCCCTATGGACTGTAGTCAGCCAGGCCTCTCTGTCCATGGAATTTCCCAGGCAAGAGTACTGGAGTGGATTGCCATTCCCTTCTCCAGGGGAATCTTCCTGACTCAGGGATCAAACCCTCAGGAGAAGACCCTCTTGTGTCTTCTGCATTGGCAGGCAAGTTCTTTACCACTGAGCTACCTGGGAAGCCCCTGCTCATGTATATATTACTTTTTCCTTATTTTAAAGTTGTGGTAAAATCCATGAGACATACAATTTACCACCATAACCCATTAAATTCTTTTAATTCTGGGTGTGGTTGGTTTGTAATGCACAGTTTCGCGTGTACAGCAAAGTGAATCTGGTATCCATATACACATATCCACTGTTCTTAAGATTCTTCCTAACTCATTTTAAAGTGTACAGTTCAGCGGTATTAAATACCTTTGTGATATTGTGCAACGGTTACCACCATCCATCTCCATAATATTTTTCATCTTATAACACTGAAATGCTGTACTCATTAAACAGTAACTCCCCATTTCCCATGTGACAGAATTTCCTTCCTTTTTATGGCTGAATTATATCCCATTAAATGTACATGCTACATTTTGCTTATCCATTCATCTGTTGATGAATTCTTGGGTCTCTTTCACATTTTAGCTATTGTAAGCAATACTGCTGTGAACATTGGTGAATATATTCACTGTGAATACCTCTTCAAGACTCTGCCTTCAATTCTCTGGGATATATAACAAGATATGGGATTGGACTGGATTAAAGATTCACTGAGCATGGCCCTGACCATCAGAGCAAGACTCAGATTCCCCACAACTAGTCCCTCCCATCAGGAGGCTCCCACAAGCCTCTTACCCTTATCCATCAGAGGGAAGACAGAATGGAAACCACAGTTACAGAAAACTAACCAAACTGATCACTTGGATCACAGCCTTGTCTAACTCACTGAAAACCACGGGCCATGCTGCGTAGGGCCACCCAAGATGGATGGGTCATGGTGGAGAGTTTCGATAAAACATGGTACACTGGAGAAGAGAATGGCAAGCCACTTCAGTATTCTTGCCTTGAGAACCCCATGAACTTTATGAGGAGGCAAAAAGATATGATAGTGAAAGATGAACTCCCCAGGTCGGTAGGTGCCCAACATGCTACTGGAGAAGAGTGGATAAATAGCTCCAGGAAGAATGAAGAGGCTGAGCCAAAGTGAAAGGAACACCCATTTGTGGATATGACTGGTGATGGAAGTAAAGTCTGATGCCATAAAGAATATTGCATAGGAACCAGGAATGTTAGGTCCATGAATCAAGGTAAATTCAAAGTGGTCAAACAGGAGATGGCAAGAGTGAACGTCGACATTTTAGGAATCAGTGAACTAAAATGGACTGGAATGGGTGAATTTAATTCAGATGACCATTATATCTACTACTGTGGGCAGGAATCCTTTAGAAGAAATGGAGTAGCCCTCATAGTCAACAAAAGAGTCCGAAATGCAGTATCTGGATGCAATCTCAAAAACAAGAAAATGATCTCTGTCTGTTTCCAAGGCACGCAATTCAGTATCACAGTAATTCAAGACTATGCCCCAACCACTAATGCTGAAGAAGCTGAAGTTGAACGGTTCTATGAAGACCTACAAGACCTTCTAGAACTAACAGCCCAACATATGTCCTTTTCATCATAGGGGACTGGAATGCAAAAGTAGGAAGTAAAGAGATATTTGGAGTAACAGGCAAATTTGGCCTTGGAGTACAGAATGAA